TTAGATACTTTTCAAAAAGCTCCGATCTGTCATGTCTACGATAATCTTCAAAGGCATCGGATTTCTCAAGATACAACTTTGCGCATTCGTCATCCCATCCAGGGGTGGCGGGTCTTCTTTTGAAGGTTGGAACACGTCGTCTCTGGGCTTCTAATGCCCTTTTGTAACGGGCGAAAATTTGTCCAGTCCCGAAGTTTGATATGTCGCATGACCGCATTACCGGCCAAGATATGTAAAATCAGGAAGTTTGATATGTCGCACGATAGGTTTTAGTTCTTGTTGAGATTTGGCCTTTTCCCGGGGGCACCAGGACATGCTCAGGATGCCCAATGTAATCGTGGACCATCAGCATAACTACCATTGGCCTAATTACACCATTTGAGAGAAATAAAACATGATGTTCATCGTGTGTATACTTATTACAGATCAGTAAAGACGAATGCCGACCAAAAGTGAGCCCAACTTGAACCGGAATAATTCCGGAACCATATATTGATCGAAATGTTTTCATATGAATTCAAAAACTTCAATAGATTCCCGACAAAATGCAACTTATTGTGAAGAAAATGATTGAGAAATTATGTTTTTAGAGCTACTTGAATTTTGAAATCTACGCAAATTTAGACTTTAGGCACGCAAAGAGCTACACACATAAAAAAATTCATGTAAATTTAGGTGCTCTGAGACTGACATATACGAGCGTCATTTTTGACATAAAATTGAGTCGTAATAGACGCAAAGCTCAGCTCAATCAAACGTACTTTTCGTCGAGTACCGAACTTTTCAGTCTCGGAGCACTTAATTTTACATGACATGTTTGTTTACGTCTCATCCTTTATGTCAAATATGGATTCCGTCACGTGTAAAATTAGGTATTTCTAAGTGTGTATATCTTGTAGGTAAGCAGGTATTAGCAGCAAATATCAAAGTCCTTTCGTTAAGTAACTTATACCCTAATGTTACATATATATTTTTTGTAAGAAAGTTTGAACATACTGAGAGATAAGCACATATCATCGGTAAGAGACGTGTGTGTGGGAAAATTTGCGAAAACTCTAAGGGCACCGGTTTTGATTCGAGCCCACAATTCCCATTCAGTACACGGGTGCATTGCCAATTATACAACGGTGGACCTATATGGTCTATGGATTTATTTGGCTAATGACATTTGAGTTTCGATAGCGGTGCCGGTGGTGTAGTGGTAAGCGTGATTGCCTCTTTCACCCCAGTGGGCCTGGGTTCAATCCCAGTCGGCGCCGTCGGGATTTTCTGAGGCATAAAATCTCTGGTCACGCCTTCCTTCGGAAGGGAAGTAAAGCCGTTGGTCCTCGGTCCATGAGTTGATGGGTCGGTTAGCTAGGGTTCAGGGTGGGAGCTGCCTCCCTGACGTCGGTAGCATTGGTACTTCAGTACGGAAAACAAGATCGACGGAAAACACATCGAGAGATCGAATTTGAGTTTCGAATCCGTTTCCCACCCTAGTATTTTGCGCAAGCATTCTCTACACACTAAAAAATCTGAATTTTACTTGTGTTGTAAACATCCATGCATGCAAACATTCATGTATGTAAACTTCCTTTTCACGTAAACTAGCAGCTTGCAAGAAATGTAGCAAACAAAGGTGGAAAGATGCATACAATATATGGAATATTGCTTGACATGTCTCATAAATTTACCCGATTTATAATGTAAACTTGTATGATTTATGAAGCTCCATTTATGTGCATCATAGTAACGGATATCTACACTACTTTTTTTAGCTGTTTACTACACAACAATCGTCTATTATAGACGATATGTGCTTGTACCGCAACCACTCAGTATCATGCTTGGCCTGCTCAGTTGTAAACACCAGCTGCTCATTTGTTAATAACTTTTCACTCAGTTGTTGAAAATTAGTTTTCTTCAAAGTAATTGATATATTAGGATCATAGTTTACTGTAGACATGTAAAGAGTAGGTAAATCTTATCATTTGAATCAACACCAATGATTTATTGCACTTTAAGCCCGAAATGTGCAGAGAGTATTTCTCACTTCATTTTTGCAAAGCAAAATCAAATACAGTTTATTAGTATAATTAAAATCTCATTTTTTACAAACCTATAAAAAGTTTAAAATCCTATCGACTGCTTCAAACAGAACTATGTTTCGTCAACTGTGTGCAAAGTTATTAGCAAATGAGCAGTTCGTGAGCATGCTCAGTATCTGTCGATGTGAACAAACATAGCTCATTTTTGTTGGGCATCCTTACATGCTGAAGTATGTCCAGCAACAGTTGAGCTTATTAGAGAACGCTTGCGCAAAAAGTCTAGGGTGGGAAACGGATTCGAAACTCATATGTCATTAGCTAAATACATCCATAGATCCCACCGGTGCCCTTAGATTTTTTCGCAAATTTTCTCACACACACGTCTCTTACCGATGATATGTGTATGTTCAAACTTACTTAAAAACAATTAAATAAACTGCAAGTCACTAAACCGTTACATATATAATTCACAGGGGGATCAATGCTGTATACATGACCATTTTTCCAAGTATTTAAATGTATGTCTTCGACAAAGTTGAATTTTATAGTATTCTCAAGCTATTTTCAAGATTTGGTGAAATTTGAGCAATATTTGGAGTTTTGGTGCGGAAATATATACAATCGTTCCGTTTCCCATAAATTTTCCAATACAACGTTTCAAATTCTCCCGCAAATCGAGATATAACCAAATTCGTTCAAATTTTGCACAGCTGTTGGGGACCTCAATACGTAGAAAAACGTGATTTATCATGTTTGCAAGCATCAGAAGAGATGTCGTTATCTGCGTGATTTATTTTTTTTTCTTCGCTTGTGCTTCCGGAACAGAAATTTAAGACATCGCGAGTGATAGTTTTTCATTTGAGTTTTGAATAGTTTTGTGTCGGCGAGTGCGAATTAATCTCCACGAATATCGGCCGTCCTCAGAAGTGCCCCCCCCAAAGTGCATCAGTGTTTTTATCACACATGGCTGGAGTAAATCGGATCATTCGGGTGAGACGGTTCCTTTGTGTTTGTTTAATTTTATTTAAAAACATGATTGGAGTTTAAATTTAGGAGCTCGGCTAGCTTGGCGGCTGCCACTTTTCCTAACTGAGTAGAAGATCGTGGGTTTACTCCCAAGCTCCTCGAGAACAGAACAATTACTATGGTCGCATCGCCTACTTAAGCGAATCCTGACCCATTTCCTACAAAACTATCCAACTCCGTAGCATCTATGGGGGCGTCGGTGATTCGCTGGCCTCCCGTTAAGTAGATGTTACATCAACAATATCCTTCCTTTCCCCTTAACGGAGAAGAAGGGCGTGGCCAGCAATGGTAATTGTCATAATTTTCCTGTTCTGAACTTTGATTGGAGAATACGAACGTTAAAGTTGATACATGGCAGTTGCCAGTATGCAATCTACGAATTACTCCGTTACACACGCAACGCAACGGTGTTGGGGACCTCAATACGTATTGAAAGAGCAGTGGTTAACAGAGTGTTGTAAAGTTGACCCACCCACTTCTTGGAAAATGGACATGAAAACAGCAAAACGTAACGAAATATTTAAAATTGAATTGTATTAGTAACAGTAGGGTATAAGTTGCAGAACGAAATCCCGTTGAGATTAGCTGCTAATAGCTGCTAACCGGCAAGATACACCCCCTCAAAGATAGTGTGATAAAATTTAAATATCGGACTAAATCCTTAAAACAAAGAGGTAAATAGCGATTTGCTTTTTTTCTGAAAAACTGTGTACTTCTAAAGCACTTGCAATTTTGTAGAACATTGAAAAATATCAAACAAAAAATATGATATGAAACGCTTTTAAAGAAGGTACTATCATTTGTACTTCATTTTCCCCTATAACTTCGTTCATTTGAGAGATAGAATTTTTGTCATGCACAAGAATTCTTAAAATGACCTTATCGACAATGTTTTTATAGATGTACATCAATTTTAACAAGACATAAAAAATTAATTTCTTATTATCTGAGTGTATACCCCCCTTAATCAAAATTTTCCCTGCTCAAATAAAGTACTCAAAAAATTAAGAAACATTCTACAATACTAACTAGTTTCGTCGCAAATATCCATGTCCCACTATTTTGGATTTCGTCCCACGGAGGCTTCGGAAGCAGAAAACAATATTTAAGGGCACATTTTCCATTACGTTTACAATAGCCGCAACCGATGATGGGCCCTCATTTGTTCCTGTCACGATCCGATCACTCTACAAATGGTCACTCGTTACAATACAGCAGCTGCCAATTTGTCGTTGAAAAGTGAAAATGAGGAAAAATGCCACAAATATATTCCAACCACGAACAGTCATTTACGAATGCCAATGACAAACCGGCTAATTTGAATAATGACCTTGTTTTTCCTCACAACTCAAGCCCCACCAACAGCAACCATCAACCACCGGGAATCGAAGATGACATTGAATGTGGTTTCCATCACACAGTGTGAGAATCACTCCCTTCCTCTGCACAGGAGCTGCTACGAGGTTGCGAATAATAAGCTCTCAACCCTTGCTCTGCGATCCTTCCTTCCGAATGGGAAACGAAGAGTGGCAATCTTATCGCGATATTACAAGCCGGCTGCTGCCGTCTTCGCGTTTCGTAATTCTCCGATACGATGACACCGCTTGATAAATATTAATCTTTGTTATAAAACTATACTCCTCTGCTCTGTTGTGGGGGTGGCAGCGGTAAAGCCGTAGCAATTTCCTACATAATCTTCGCCCCTTATGCTTTATGTAACGAGGAAAATTTATTTTCCCCATTTCATCGAACGCTGCAGCTTAGATTACTTTGCAACCGGCCTCTCGGTGGAAAGTGGCAACCGCAGTATTAATTGCATTTGCTGTACCTAGAGTGAAGATACCGTTACTGTTTCGTGAAGCCATACCACCACCGAATGAATGTTATTGTATTTGTAATTAATGGTGAACCTAGATTTAACCGAAGATCCTTTTCTATTTGCAGAATTGCATCCGCGCTGTGATTGACACACGGAAGCAAACGGTTCAACACCTCTCTAAAAGGACCTGTCACATCATTTAGGCTCTCTGCCCACCCACTTCAACCAACAACCATGATGGTTTCCACCAGTATGACCACGAGGCATATTCTGCTGGTTCTAGCTATGCTGCTGTGTGTAGTTAAATTGACCACCGGACGACCACAAAACGCAATCGACAACCAGGTAAGTGACTTGTCCGGGGAAATTGTGCGACATGGCGGCAGTGTATGGGAATATGTATAACGATAACACTCCATTGGTGGGGTTGTGCTCAAGGGATATTGCAACTGAAAATCTGCCGGAAAGATAAGCAAAAAATGATGAAGTGGTTCGGATGAATAGCGAGCAATCGGTAGTAATGCCACACAAAATTAAGGATTAAATAAATGTCCCTCCCTTTGCGGGACTTCGACTGATTTTCACAAAACAGTCTAAAGTATTTGTGCTGCACAAGAGGCAACATTTCGGACATTGATTAAACCTGAATGGGTCTAGTATATAAGATCCTTTTCCATGGCTAATTGGTTACATTGCATAATGAGATAATTTGACTTGATGTATTTTCAATATATTCAGAAGTACAAGGTAAAACAGCTCCCAAGACATCGTCAACAGCGCTTGAACCTTCCATTGACAGCCTTTAGTTGAACACACTACATTCTACCATTTCCACTTTTACTGCCCTACACCGTCGTATCTCATCGCTCAAGGTGTCAACATAACTTCCCATAAAGACATCTCCCTCCATGCTCCAATCCGCGCCAAACCACCATCTAAATCCTGGATCAAGTTGCCGTCCTCTACAAATCGCATGCATGTACACTGTACAGAATCCAACTAGGGATGCCTGGATATACACCATCGACGTCCATTCAGGGAAACATCAGAGACTCAATTTGTTTGTCCATTTTATTTACGATGCATCATAATGTAGCTAACACACATGCATTGATCCTGCTGCTTGCGGTTGCTGGTGACGAACGACGGTATGATTGCGAAGTGCTCCGATTTGAGCATCGCCGTCCGTGCTGCATACGTATAGTCAACATCGATATGATCAACAGGTGGCACACAGCTTCCAGTCCGCATGCTTCTGTAGTGCAGTAGCAAGCACAGAGTGACAGGTTTCGTTCATGATAGAGATTTTAAAGTTGTTTGTTTTCGCAATTCGCACCACCTTCCAGCGCAACATTATGTGGTTATGGGGTTATCCTCGGTTGACACGTTAACTGAAGAACAATATCACACAGCCGGTTGTTATTTATTGGACTGGGAAAAGCTATTTGATTTCGATGTGTGGGGCAGAGTGTGCTGCAGATTTTTCCTGAAGGGTTTCAATGTATAGTGCAATATGATAATAATTGTCATTATTTGAAGGATAAATGAGAATCATAATGATTATGGTTGAAGCATCAATGAGGTTGACATTTAATTTATGATACTCTCCACTGGTTAAACATTATGTTCATATCGTGATCAAAGACGATGTTTGATTGAAGCTGTTTCGCACATAGATTAGTAATTTGTGCAATTCCAGTGTACTTTAAATTCACTATTCAAACATGCCGTATGCTTATGTAATAAATCGTTTAAACTGATTTACTTTTACGAAATTCAAGGCGACTCTAATTCCAAGTAAAGACACTATTATACAGACAATATTTACAGTATTTTCAATGATGGAATTGATGCAAAATTTGAAATTTTTGCTTCACAGTGCCCGATAGGTTTATTAAACGGATGGCTTAAGCGCCACCTCCGAAGAGGACCACCTGTCCTGTTTCAAGATGCCCAATGAGCCAGTCCTAAAATTAATCAAAACTGTCGGGAACAAGACCAACATACACGAGTGACTCAAGAAAAGAGTGGTCATAATCACCGAAATCCCCGAGTCCGAAAAACTTCCAATACCGAAAACCGATCCGAACAGGGGTATCATCACAGGAAGCAATCTCTATGACCCATCAATTTAAGCATGATTTAGAAGATGAGTAATACCAACAATCAATACGAAACTAACAATTTTAAATTGGCTCACTACTTGACTAGCCTATTGGGCCCAAGCAAACGATTAACGTATCCCATTCTAGTCGAAATTCTAGTACTACGCAATGTTTGTTTTGATTCGCTATGAAAGTTTGACAGATAAAATGAGGGGTTATTGGTTTTTTCTATGTTTCGAGGGGTGAATCGATTAGCTTGGAACCGAAGAGAGTACCAGAGCTGAGCCAAAAAGTTGAGCACGTTATTTCGGGACCTTCTTGTCTTAGAGTTACCTCTATGGTAATACCCTGGACAGACTATGGCTTATATCATGTAATATAAGCTGTCTTGCAATGAGCACTCATACATCTAGTTTTCACTGGAAATCCTATGTATGAGTGCTCATTGCAAGACAGCCTATATTACATGATATAAGCCATAGTCTGTCCAGGGTATAACACAACCAATTCAACGAAAAAATGATTAAGCATTAGACTGATGCAAAATTTGAACATTTCGCTCCACAGTGCTCAAACGATCCCAAATTGGATCCTGATTATCCTCCCAATATTTGAACTCATTTAGTAAGAAACTGACTTCGCACAAACCATTTGAAGTTTATATGGAAATTACTATGGGGAAACCATAATTTCGCTTCATATATATCTTATAATTCACCAATTCACTCTACTTTAGAAAATAATAGCTGCGCTTGTTGAAAATCTACTCAGCTACAACTTTGTTCAAGACCACTTTTCTAATAATAGAGGACAAAAATCATGGCTACTATGTTACACTGCAGAATACAGTGTTGCCCACAGTACAGTTGCTTAATCATGCCATAAGATTATCAATCTCGTAAATAATTAATAACTATTAAGTTTGACGCTTGGCTGATAATCAATCTTCTGCGAAGTTGAAGCTGATAAAATTTCGCATAAGAATAGTAATAGAACATGTTAACAGTATAATATGGAAAAGGCTAGAAGACAATGAACAAATAGTTTGGTTTTCCCATAGTAATTTCCATATGAACTTCAAATGGTTTGTGCCAAGCCAGTTTCTTATCAAATGAGTTTAAACTTTCAGAGGCTAATCAGGACGCTCACATGAGAAAATTTGCTTAAAAATGGGCAGCAACGGGAGGGATTTGAACTCACATATTCCATTGTGCTTTGCTTGTTAAGTAGAACTCCTATCCAAAAATAACAAGAAACAAAAATAACTTGACAATTGTGGATTAATTTACTGCCTCTTCGATGACAGTGATACAAACTCTGCAACGATCACAAACTGTCCTGCAATTGGCGGGGATAGAGAGAACACTTACTTAAGAGAAATGTACGACTGAAAAGTGTCAAAGGAAGAGAGGAAATTGGTGCGTATCCATAATAAACGTTACTGTCAATTAACCAAAATTAAATGTATGTTAAACATACGAGCATATAATTGCACGACCTTCTGCTAGCTGAGGAGAGAGGTGCACTGAACCACTTTACCCGTTTTGTTTTGGGTTTCGTTTGCAATGGTTATTTCATCGTCGAAATTATTGAGAACACACTATATTTATAATATTTAGTTTATAGTATTTTCCAGAATTTTGAAAGTCTTTGAGCACTGTGGAGCAAACATTTCAAATTGCATCAGTCTAATAAGCATGCGGAACAAAACGCGAAACAACCTTCAGATTCTCTCAATCAAAATTTACTAACACTGAACACTGATTTACTTTGGGAGTGGAAAAATTCATTCTACATTTTTACAGTTACCTATAGTTTTATTGACATTGTTTGTAAGAAAGTTTGAACATACTGAGAGGTAAGCACATATCATCGGTAAGAGACGTGTGCATGAGAAAATTTAATTTAAATTTAAGGGCACCGGTGGGATTCGAGCCCACAATTCCCATTCAGTACACGGGTACATTGCCAATCATACAACGGTGGACCTGTATGGTCTATGGATGTATTTGACTGATGAAATTTGAGTTTGGAATCCGTTTCCCACCCTAGTCTTTTTGCGCAAGCGTTCTCTAATACACAACAATCGTGATAGAATTTACCAGTGATTTAAATAAAAATTAATCAGAGTTGGTTGGAAATGCTAACATCAAGCTTGAGTGTGATAATTTATTAGCTAGAGAATGATCTTTACAAAAGGGTATGTGGATAGTTCCGTTAGAGTACGGCAGTATGAAAATTTAATACATTCTCTAACTAATAAATTATCACACTAAAGCTTCATGTTAGCATTTTCAACCAACTCTGAAAATCGCTAACTTCGTGTATAAAGTAACATAAAAACACTTTGAATGTAACAACTCAAGGCGGGAGTAGCCGTCAACAATACTGATGATGGTACAGTACGCAACATCCACCCTACTACTTTCTCTCTTAGATGACCAATAAGGTCATGACGAGAGGAGTAACACAATAGTTGGGTAAAGAAGAATTGCATAACATAACATAACACACCATCGACTGGAAATGCTCTCGCAACGTGGGGCTTTAGGTAGTGATGAAACGTCGCTCGAACTATCCGAACTATTGCACAGCCGCAGTCAGTAATGAGTAAAAGGAGGACGCACATCTTTTGCCTGTAGAGTTGAAGACATACTTCCAAGCCAAGTTATTAACGAAAGAGAGATTCGATCAATGTAAAAAGGTCAATTTGAAAAGTGATGCAAGAAATAGTCTAGGTTTAAAAGTATTAAGTTCAGTTCTTTATAAATTATGAACAGTTAAGTCTCTAATGTATCATTCAAAATTTTGGAATTTTTAAAATAATATTAATTTTCATTTTAATCACTGGCAAATTCTACGTTGGTCATGACTGATCAGAAAGTGTTACAGGTATGTTCAGGAATAATTTCTGAAAGATATCTGATCATTTGATCAGGTTTTCTCTAATGTATCATCGAAAAAAAAAATGAATTTTTTAAATAATAATAATTTTTTTTAATCACTGGTAAATTCTATCAGAAAGTGAATTCCAGTTAGGTACGTTGGTCATGACCAATCAAAAAGTTATCAAGGCATTTCTCATGATGGAGTTTTTTTTCAAGCAGCACCGTGCGTCTCCATAATGATTCATGAAATTAACGGTTTTGTTCGTAATTAGAATATTTTTAAGGGATGCAAATAAAAAAAACTGTTTTTGGTCCTCAAATTGGCTAGAATGCATTAAGAATAATGTTTTTT